ATGGTATTTGCACAGATTCTATTGGGTTGGATTAGAAAATTTTGCCGGGCAACACCTTCGCAGCGGCATCCATTTACCGTAAATAGATTAAGGCTAATTTCATTTTGCTGCGTAATATTTATTGCAATTTTTTCTGCGTCAATGCATACATAAACCTGCTTACATATAAAATATATGTAAGTAAATATTGATATTTATATTGTAGTAACTCGTTATTGGCAACTGTGCAGTGAACCACTTCATCATAAATCACGTGATTAATGTCCTTTGCTGCCATTTATAATGATTTAAGATGGATGTTTGCTATTGGCAAATGGTTGTATTGATGTCAGAGAGTCAAGCGCAAGAGCTTTTCATTCACAATTTTTACATGCATACATAAATACCTATGTATGGGTGAGTTCATGGAAAAGAACATAAAAAAATTTTTTACGCGAGCTTGTGCAAACAACTGCCGCCTACACTTAAAAACGAGCTATGAAATTACATAATTCTACAGCTGAAGCTATTTCGGGCGCAAGAAAGCTGAATAGACAAAGTGAATCTTTCATAAGAGTATTCAGCTGCTGCTTAGGCCGATGATACTGAAATCTGGGTTTGGTAGTGAATGAGAGGAAGACGAAATACCATCTGCCATCAAACGAACAAACTTTGCATTCGCGTTACTACTTACAGTCTCAATTGTGAATTTGTAGATAATTTCGGCTGCCTTGGCAACAGTATTAATACCAACCCAATGTTAGCTTGGGAACCCAACGCATGCTACTTCGAACTGAGTAGGCAATTGAAAAGAAATGTCCTCCCTTGACGAACGAACATCAAAGTCTAGAGGTCAATTATCAGCCCTAACTAAATTGAAAGTGTGAATATCTGATGATTCCACGTTAGGAGTTTTGGAAAGTAAGGATTAGTGTATTAGCAACGGCTAGTACCGGCTTCCAGAATCCTCAAATAAGCTTTGAAAGTTATTCGATGCAGCATCCGCTGGTTAGCAGAGGAAGAAGAAGACTCTTACTTATTCCTATTCAAGTAGGAAAGAATTAACAGAAAAGTGGCTATTTTCAAGGATGATGATATCCATAGCTATATAGATCGATCTATAATCTCCAAGTAGATATTGCTTTTAGTATCATCAAATTGGTCAAGCACTCTAGATAGTCGAGCGGCAAAGTGCTTTAGAATACATTGAATACAAATTGGGTTTCATATCACACGGATGTAGCAGTAAATTGAAATACGGACAAACTGGCGAGTCATCGACTGCCTCAGACCCTTAAGCGTCTCGAAATGTTGCTTAAAACAGAGTGCCATAGAGAAAGACTGACAGTCTTGGAATTTTGGAACGTAGGACGTACTACTAAATTAATGTAAGCACAGTTGATGGACCAAATCGTTATTTAAATTAAGCAAAAGAAAGAGCTATATAATGGGTGTACCGACAGGGTATCTACAATAACACTGAGTTTTCATCTCTACAATAGGTAAAGTGGTATGGTGCGGAGTATTCACAGAGGACAAATGAACGCTGGTTCATTTCCTTGGTGGTTGGTTATCCTTCAGTAGATTAAGGCGTGCTCCTAACTGCAACGTGCTCCATGGTCACGCATGGCTGGAAGAAACTTAAGCAATTTTTAAAATCGAGCACACTTTTGGCCAAAGTTTAGTTGGGATGCACGGAATTTAACTTTTTCTTTGCTAAAATGAAACACCTCAACTAGAAATGTATTTTATGCGTTGTTCTCCTCTAACTTAGGAAAATGTCTGAAATTGGCATCTTGTTGGTAGTGGATCAGTACCTCTCGAAATCTAAGATCATGAGATAGCACAAAAGTGGTTTGCTAGGTTCCGTTCCGGTAATTTCAATGTCAAAGACGCACCACGCGTCGGGAGGGCTGCCGTCGAGAATTTGCGATAAAATCATGGAAACAGTGGAAACAGACCGTCCCGTGAGCACTTGTTTAACTGCTGAGGAACTTAAGATAAGCCAGAAAAAGATATGCCAGGAATCATCTACTACGAGCTTCTCCCCTGTGACCAAATCTTCAATTCGGCCCTCTACTGTCAACAGAAGTCGAATTGTGTTCCATCAGGACAACGCCAGGCCACACACGTCTTTAGAAACGTACCAGAAGCTCCAAGAGCTCGGATGGGATGTGCTAACGCACCCACCTTATAGTGCGGACCTGGCACCATGTGAAAACCATCTTTTCCTGTCCATGGCGATCGCGCTGAATGGTAAGAAGTTGGCCTCAAGAGAGGCCTATGAAAATTGGCTCTCCGAGTTTTTTACCAATTGGGACGCAGCCTTCTACGAGAGGGGTATAATGATGTTTACGAACAAAACGGCACATATTCGACTTAAATCGGACACAAATGTACACAAAGTTGTCATATTTTGAAAAATCAATAAAAAACCAAACGAACCATTTACTTTACTTAATAGTTATGGGAAAAATATTCTTATACAAAAGAAAACACATATTTTCTTTGGTAACACCGCCACAGTCACAGATTTCCAGATTTTTTGCATGTGCAAGGTGCAAGGCGTAGCCGTAGGTCGAAGACTTCCAAATTTGAATACCTTCGTCATTAAACATATGATTTCGCTCTTGTCGTAATCTTCTATTCTATAAACCTTGCTACAATCCTTGGTTTTCATTTAAACAAAATTCAAGCTTTCGATTATTATTGCCGTAGAAATCAATAGAGATTTAAAGCGCAATGTGAGAGGGGAATCACCATTGGATATTATTATTCTTCTCGTACTAAATACTCTTTATTAACACAAATCCGTCAAATAAATTTTGCTTGTTAAACTACAAATATTATATGTAAATATATATAAACCAAAGTATCAACTCAATGATTGAGGGCGTGTTTGCAGTAGGTGGCGCTTTAACAACACGCCACACCACATCAACAAAGCAATCAAGCCGCAACAACTAACAAACAAAGACAATGCAATGAAAGTCAATTACTTATTTTGGTTGGAGCCAACATGTTTTTGTTTGTAAACTGATTTTGACACTACACCAAGCGCTCGCATGCGTGTGTGTGTGTATGTGTTACTATATAATTGCTTGTATTTAATACGCACACATACAAAGTTCAGCCTTTTGCTCGTACGTGCCGCTTTCCCTCAGCTGAACATAAATTACGTATACTTACATATTTATATATGTACATTTATATATTTATATACTACAGTGTAGTAGGCAATAATATATAGTAAAGTTTTGCAGTTATATTATGCCATGCATGCTGAGAGCGACAGTGATTCAGTTATGAATTTGTAAGCGTATTGCATATAAATTAGTGGCATGAAACAATCGCTTGAATATGTAATAGTAAGTGTATTTATGTACACCAGCTCAAGTAGCTAAAAATTGAAATCATTAGCGTTTATTCTTTTCAAAGACTTAATTCAAGTTGTATTGTACAAGGAAAATGTTTCTGCGCAGAGAATCTTAGTTAATTTGAAATTTGTAATGATAAACAACATGAAAAGAAAGGGCTATAATAGTTCTGAGTTGAAGTATTCTTTTAATAAACCGCATTGGCAGAGTGGTTAGCATATATTTTTTTAGCGACGAACTCAGCGTTACTCACTTCCCGCCCAATTGACGGAGGGGCGCGTCTGAGGGATAATCGAAAAATCCAACAGACCGGTGACCGAAACCCAGTAACAGTCCGGACTGCCCTTAATCTGAAAGGATGCCAAGCAGCTACAGATTTATTCATCAGCTACTATAAAGTTGTATGGGGAAAAGAAGAGGGAATTTATTTAATTATTTAAAATACTCAGTACGAGGTATGTTCAAAAAATATCGCGAATTTTGTGGTTTATCAAAAATTATTTTTTTATTCATGAATATCTAATGTGTCCTAATAGAGTGACCTCTTCAGTATGGCATATATGATGTAATACATTTTTATAGGAAGCAATTTATTTCATGTCAGAAATACACCCTGACACCTCGGGAATATGCCGAGGGATATGGCTAACCACTCGGATACTCTTTTTGAATGTTTTTTTAGAACTATAATTTTCAAGAAAATTCATTAAATTAGCTTTAATATAAAGCTATGAGCTTGAAATTATGTCTTAAAAATTATCTTGGGCAAGTGATCTCCGCGGCTGGCTTGAATAACTTCCAGCTGAGAGGCTCATTTTTCGATCGTCTTTTGCAGAGTATAAGCCCACAACGCGAGATGATGCGCTCGGCAAAAGTTTCCTTCAATACATTGATTGTTTCGTTGGCTGTAAGGAATGTAGCGCCATCTTATGGGAACCAAACCTCAAAATACAGATACGGAAATGTCATCAATCGTGGGTTTTTTGTGTACACCATTGACTGTTGCTTTAGAACCAGTGATTCCCACTGCCTATAGAGCACATCAAACATTGACTTGTTGAAAGCAGATGTGTACAGTTCCAGTTGTTGCACGCGATGGCAGAGGGAATCATTTAGATCTTCTTCGATACTCTACTCTTAAACAGCATTGAAACATGGTGCGGCGTCTCTTAAGCGGGGAATTTTTCACTAGAGTAAACGTCGTTGCTCGAATTACCGACTCTTTTAGGCGTGGATGTCGACCGAATATTGAGCGCATGATGCATCGTGGGAACCGAACCATTATTCTAGTAATAAGCCTGTCAAAAGGATCAACTCCGTAAAAGGTTTTGTTACGTCGAAAACAAAACCATTTTTACAAATATATTTTATAACTTTTTTTTTACAAACACGATAACTTAATCCTGTAAAAGTGATGTCGGTGGTATGAAACCAGGAACACAAGTTTTACGTTCTGTGTTTCCTGTCAAAAGCCAATAAATTTGAGGTCTGATGTATACTATTAGTATGGTTTTAGGTGTTACCTTCACCATTAACGTCTATATAGAAGTTTTCGTCTTAGTTTTCAGTTAATAAACTTTTCTGTCATCCTTCGTTTTGCCAATGATTTAATTTGTTATATTTTTCTTCTTTTCCTTATTTCAGACTTTCGTTGGATATTGTAATCGATGCTCTGACACACACATAACGATAAAGTTCACCGAGACGCGCAATCGGCTTTGCAAGGTAAGCTGAAGATTTGTTGTACTTACTGGCATAATTTATGTCACTAAATAGCTTAAAGGTATTAACTTTCAAGTCGTTTGCGTTTTTAGAGCATTAAGTATGTAAGCAAAATTAGTTTGAAATTCGAACTTTGCATCGACTAAAATTTGCCTACCGAAATGCTGAGGGAGAAACCGAAAGGATTAATTGTTTCTTCATACTTTGCTGCACGCAAACAACGAAACCAATTTTGTATTTTCTCAGCGAAGCTGTAATTACAGCCTATTTGTGGCAGTAAACTATAGACTAATTTTGTACTATTATTCACAAACTTTGAGCTATTTAATGCGCATTTGAATAGAAATCCAAGAATTTATTAGCCTGACTGCCTCTTTTATTCAACGTTATTTACATAACAACAACTTTGTGTATTTGCGAATGTGTGCACGGAGGTTGTACACATCATTAATTAACGAAATTAGCTTGGTGAATTAATTTTGAAGGAACTCATTTTCCTTCATGTTTCTATCACTCCTTAAGTAAAACGTCTAAACTATTTTTTTTTTTTCATTTTGTATCTTCACATTGCCCGCTTAGTTTAAGCAAAAAGGTGTTGATTTGTCTGTGCGCTTAACTCAAGAGAAGTTTTAATTACTCTCTGCAAGCATTTTTCATTATGAATATTTAGCAATGCATTTGCGCGGCGTGCTTAATGATTTTAATGAGAAAATAGTTCCACAACTTGGCGCTAAGAAACGAAAGCAACAAGATGCAAGGAAATGAAATGCTTTCACCGTTAAAACTTTAGTTGGCGATAACTGTGCGCTCATTTTATAGTTTTAGTGGACATAGTAATGGCTAAAAGAGTAAATTAAATATTTAACGGCATTTCGTTAACGTCACTAAACGCTTATGATTTGCTGTTGAGAATACTCAGCACTTTTACAAGACAAATTCTCGATTTGTCCTTGGAGGTAACTGTCCAATCCCTAATAGTATAAAATAAAGTTCTATTGAGAAGACGCGGCTGATCAGCTGATTCCTGTTCCTGGTGAAAATTATCGCTAACATCGTTGCTGCCCAGGAGAAGCATGCAATGAACGGAATAAGGAAGAAAGAAGGTGGGTCCTTGCGAAATCCTCTAAAGCGGCCTTAAAAAAGGACGCTATTTAGTTGTTGAACATATGGTGGAGAATATATTCAACCCAACATTTTATTGCTAATTGGCGCCCTCGCTTGGACCAAATATGAATATTCATCACTATACTTCGCCATCTCCAGATTGGAAAATACCAAACCAATTCGTAGACTGTGATATACAGAAGACATATTTCCAGTGTTGCAGATGAGCGTACATTCGTACGAGCGCACATACGTGCGTAAAATCGCGTCGAACCAAAATCTCGTCGAATTGCACTCCTGCTCTCTAAGAGAACCTATCAAGAACTCGGTATAAGGAAAGTGACAACAGTTCATGATCCCTACGTACAAACCAAAATTTGGCAAACCCGATTAGATCGATTGATAATTAACAAAACGGCTGGAATCGGTGGATTACCGACCGAGCTATATAAATACGGCGAAAATGTGTTGACAAGGTGCATGCATCAGCTTCTTTGCATGGTATGGTTGGATGGAAGCATGGCATAAGCCTTCAAGCATCTAACGTCCTATTGGTCATATTGTGTAAGGTTAAAGCCCACCAGCAACTCATTTTATCTTGTAAATCCACCGATATTCTCCATACGTGAAGTCTTGGAAAAGACCCGTGAAAGAAAATCGACATTCATCACCTTTTCGTTGTTTGAAAGCAGCTTTCGGCAGGATAAAAATCCTTGTCGTTCCGGTAAAAAGACCCAAATGTCGCAAGAACAATTGGATTTTAGTCGCCTCTTACGGCAGGCATGCCTTTCCGCGAGTAAATTCATGACCTCCTAACCCGCAGGAGGGTTAAAGCACTGGTGCTATATAACCTTGTAACATCGCTTGACTCAATAATATTTTTATCGAAATAGAAGTTTCAATTACTTATTAATTATAACGTGTGCCTTGTAGCTGGAAACATAATTCTTCCAAAAAAAGTTAGAAAATAAAATCAATAATAAATAAATATACATGTATATTTTTAATTAATTTACTGGCGCAGACACTGCGTCATTCGTCATTCATTTCTTTTTTTTTTGCTGTTTGGCGTCAATTCGAAATACCAAGTACAGCCAGGCCCTTTTCTACCTGGTCTTTCCAACGGAGTAGAAGTCTTCCTCTTCCTCTGATTCCACCGGCGGGTACTGCATCGAAAACTTTCAAAGCTGGAGTATTCGCATCCATCCGGACCACATGACGTAGCCAGCGTAGCCCCTGCTTCTTGATTCGCTAAACTATATCAATGTCGCCGTATAACTCAGCTCATCGTTCAATCGCCTGCGATATTCGCTGTTACCAATGCGCAAAGGACCATAAATCTTACGCAAAACTTTTCTCTTGAAAACTCCCAACGCCCACTTATCCGATGTTGTCATCGTCCATGCTTCCATATAGCAGGACAAGACCGATGAGGGACTTATAGAGTTTGCTTTTCGTTCGCCGAGAGAGGACCTTACTTTTCAATTGTCTACTTAGTCCAAAGTAGCACCTGTTGACAAGAGTGATTCTGCGTTGGATTTCAAGGCTGACATTATTGTTGGTGTTGATGCTGTCCTAGGTAGACGAAGTTATCTACAAATTCAAAATTATGACCGTCAACAGTGACGTGGGAGCCAAGTCGCGAATGCGAGGACTGCTTGTTTGATGACAGGAGATATTCTGTCTTGTCCACGTTCACTACCAGACCCATTTGCCTCGCTTCTTTATCAAGCCTGGACAAAGCAGAACTAACGGCTCGGTTTCTGAGGCCGATAATGTCAATATCATCGGCGTACGCCAGTAGTTGTACACTCTTATAGCAGATTGTACACACGACAAGGAGTCGCCATGTCTGTAAACTCGTTTGGAATCGAATGGCTCGGAGAGGTCCTTCCCAATTCTAACTGCGCTTCTGGGGTTGTCTAGCGTCAGCTTACACAGCCGTATAAGTTTTGCAAGGATACAAATATATATATATATAAATTATCAATGTATATAGAAATAGAAATTTACAAACATGCATAAGTTGAGAATTTTAAAACACTTTTAGTTATTTATTTATAAGTTATGTATGTATGCATGCTGTTTTGTACATTGGCGTCTCACTAAGCGACCAACAGTACATAACTGTACATCAAAGTGGTCACTTTAAAATAATTTAAATAATGGCTGACCATGAAATTGTTCAAAGTTAATTTCGAATTCACCACAAGTTGCCATTAACAATGTATGTAGCGAAGTGTATAGAAGATAAATATGCAAAGCAAAAACCGTTAGCTTTCTGAGTGGTTAACAAGCAAGAGTTACGTTAGCGCCACATAAGACTGTTTCTTTGCAAGGCGCGTGGCATGTTGCACGCTCCAAATTAGACAACCCAAAAATTAAAATTGTCTACATCAGATATTTTTCGTTTTTCATTTTTCGATTTGCAGACAACACCGAAAAATGTCAACAAAGTGTCATTGTCAAGCGCACAATTGTCGTTTTGGGTCACTTTCGTTGCTCGCTTGACTGCCATTTTTTCTTCACATTTAATTTCATTCCTGCGAGTTCGCATTAAGTTTATTGGTCGGCTGTCTTGTGCTCGGTCAGTGGCAACTTGTGGTAATTATTATTGATGTACTGTTATTTGAGTAACGTTTGCTGTTCGCTGTGTACTGTTAGGGGCGATATTGCCTCTGACAAAGTGTTTAATAAACAATGTGAGTTGTTGTTGGTGACATAGAGATTATAACGGATTATAAAGGACATTTGGAAATTGAAAATCAATCAAAATATGTGACCAGAATCAGTGAGAAAACTAGGATAATAGTGGTTTTTTTTACTAATTAAAATGAGGAAAATCTCTGCTGTAAAATGTTTAGTTTCAAAATTAAAATGAATTTTGCTTTTAATAATACTTCAGATTTGCTCTTGCAATTTATTCAAATATTCTTTACAAATTATTAATTTTATTTTCCTATTGCTCCCTTTACACAACTACCAATTAGTGAAAATATAAATTTTGATTTTAACTTTTGTTACACAAATTTAAGGGTTCTAAAATGCAAATATATTTATGTACATATATTCATAACTGCACATGTATGTGTATGCAAATTGTGTAAAGTGAACTCTTGAAGCATTGCGTACTGTGCTACATGTGGCTGCGAAAAGAACACTGTGAACGACCACAAGTGTTGCCATTCACAGACCTTCAACAAAAGTCATCAGAAATCAATAAAATTCAAATAATTGTTATAATATATATCTACACAAGCACACAAATTAGAACTAATGGCAAGCGCGATGAAGTGGTTTCGTGCATGTCACAATAGTCGATAATTCACTGACGACCTTTTAATGTGAGAGGGCAATTATTAACTTTTATATTTGTGTGAAGTTGTTTTCAGATTTTTGGTAGTTAAGAAAAAGTGAGACAAATATCAAATCGATATTTGAATATAGTGCGCGGCTCATAATTAAGCGAGGTATTGGGCTTTGATTCCATTTATTTAATATCTTTAAATTTAATTACTTTAATTTCAATGTACCTATTTGAATATTAGTCTATATTTTTAAGCGAGCAAAGCTCTAGATGGTTTCAATAATGAATTTTTTGTTTTGTTCTCACATATATACTATATAAATATATACTACATATATGCCTTAATATTCTTTACATAGTAGTAAGTAAGAATGCAACATTTCACTGTCAGTCAAAACAATTTATAAGAATGAGTATTCCCAGTGATTATGGTCGATTTACAAAAATTTTCCTTTCATTATATTTCGTCCTCAAATATTTTGGTAATTAATTAAGTTAAATAACTCCCTGTCGCTGGGAGATTACGACTGTCTTTGCTCCTCGTGAGATTTCACATACTTACCTTTGTACGGAATGCAAGAAGCAGAGATGT